ATGTAGGGTCGATCTTCACCCAGTATCAAAAAGTTGTTCATGTCAACACCCCAGACACGATTTTTATCGGCCATCTTCTAGTATCTTATTCAGACATAAAGTATTTCACAACTTCTTCTAAGAGGAGGCAACCTTCATTGCAGTCTCAAAAGGTCATTCATGTTAACATCCTAGGCACGAGTGCGGTGAGGAATTCATCCCATATTTCATTCAAATTACAAATCTACGAGAATAGCTCTTGGACTGGGGAGCAATTTTCATCGCAAATAATGCTTCCTCAGAGCCCCTCATTGTACTAGAATTCTTCTTCAACTAGATCAAGTAGCTAATCTCTTCACAGTTCGATACATGTGCTGTTTTACAAGCTTGCATGGAAAACACCACCGTTGGGGGGCAAAAGATTCAAAAGCAACAACTAACGAGTTTTCAAACATTATTCTTAAGTATGACTGCAATCATATTTCCAAGTAAACAAACAATCCATAGTGATTTACACCCTAGTCTTGAGAAACACAGAGTATCTCTGACATCCCATTCTAGGCTTAATCAATCCCAAGGGGACTCGATTTGACCTCTTCCATTGGAGGCTACAGTCGTCCAGCAAAAGCTTCGATATATAGCCTCGAATAAGTCAAAAAATTTTGGTGGATTTCCTTCGACCCCTTCCATAACAGGTTATGGTTGTCAAGCAAAAGCTTCGACCAACAACCTAAGATATGTCAACCATCCTCAGTTGATTTCATACGACTTTGTCCATTACCGGTTAATATAGTTGAGCATCTTTGGTTATACAACTCAGAACTGATCTTACATCTTTAATGGATTCTCCTTTCAACTATGCACCTGGAAGACGAGCCCAAGATGCGAGTCTCAACGGAAAGCTAGTAGTGGACAGGGTCTCCACTCAAAGACCTTAGAAGGCTACTAGTCTCAAAAGACACAGGTATATTAAAGAACTCAGAAAGCTACAAGCCTCAAAAGGCATAGGTACATAAAAATTATAGAAAGCTACGAGCCTTAGAAGGTACTGTGATTTATTTCAAGCTCCTATAAGGCAAAAGCACGAGAGGGCACAACCTCAGAAGGAATGAGCCTCAAAAGATACGAAACTCTTCATGTTATAAAATGTCTGTGATAACTTTAGTTGCAGAATTTTGTACGGTTGAGAAGCCACAACAACCTCAGAAGCAACTTCAAAGATGTACAAAGAAATAAATTATTATTTACACATGTCACATCAAATGATTAAAAAGGCTATAAAGACTAACAAGAGTGGTACAAAGGCTGCAAGAGATACAGTAACATGAAATTTTCCCCCTCAAATCGCGGTGGAAAAAATCTAACATTTCTTCATCTCCAATGTGTGCAGTAGCAACAAACAAGAAAATCACGAGTCACTTGTTGGCGGGGACTGAGATAACTTTCTTCATCACACTGATGTGTTGCTCGTCTGCTATGCAAGACATGGATAATTTTTTGTTGCACCGCAACGTGAAAGATTATCTCGTTGCCCGCCTGGTACGCATGGCGTAGACGACTTTCCTCTTCACCACAAAGAGAAAGAAGATCTCGTTGCTCGCCTAATGTAGGATGGGGACGACTTTCTTCTTGATCTCAACGCAAAAGAAGAACACGTTTTTTTGTCTTCCACGCAGAACGGGGACGACTTTCTTCTTTTAGGAAATCTCAGTTCACCTGTTGGGTAGGGATGGAGACTTCATCTTCTTTCACCTCTCCTTAGCTCAAAAATCCCCTAGTCTCAGTATAAGGAAAACATTTTGTATTCCTTATACTAACCCATCCATTTAAATTCTCATCAAATTCTTGATTTTTCAGGTAGCTCATACATTAAATTTTCGGCTTGTTCACATCCCGCTGTCTCACTTTCCAAACTTCCCCGTCCATCATCTTTATTAGAAAGAAATATTACATTTGGACTCCGGACTTAGAGATACGTCTGGAGTCCAATAAAATCACACCACGTGGAGGTGATAAAAAAAAATCATTTTAGCACAGGGGAATATTCCCCCCCTGTGTTATTTTGTGTTATTCAGGTGTTATTGTGGCGGTATTCATGTGTTATTGTGTTCTAAGAATATTCTTGGCGTTATAATAACACAATAATACATGAATACCACCACAATAACACATGAATAACGCGAAATAATAAGGGAGGAATATTTTCATGTGTTACCAGGCCGGATCACAAGCAAACGAGTTTTTTTTTTCTGTCAACTCCAAGTGGAGGTAATTCATTGGACTCGGGACATATCTCTACGTCTGGAGTTCAGATGTAATAATTTTTCCTTTATTAGGCCAATTGCATCTTTCTTGAAAACAGATATTTTTTTATCATAAAAGAGGATTCAAACATAAGGCATGGAAAAGGTAAAATAAAATGTCTCAGTTGAGCTTCGCTTGGATTTTTAACTTTATATGAATCTATTCATTATTATAAAACTCATAAGAGTTATGATATGGACACCACAAACAAATTTTCATCATCCGGCACAAATCTCGATGTTTTGCACAAATTTTGATGCAATCTTTTGAACAAAAAACATTCGAACTTGAATTAAGAGTCAACCAAATCTCTGATTTCAGTATACTTATTGTCAAACTGACTAATGCGATGAGACGGAAAACTAGTTCAATCTGAGTTAAATCAAACCTAGATTAAGACATTAAACTACTTTTGAAAGATTTCCAGACACATTTGGAAGGTCAAACGAATGTCAAATCTTGCGAGTTTATAATCGGTTCTAGCATCTCGACAAGACGAATCCAACGAGCCCAAGATTGCTCAATTCTGACATCATTAAGGCACCCAAAGGTCCATCAAACGTCGTCTGGTTAAAAGAAGCTCCATACTGTCCGATCAAGATGGTTCATATTTCTGCATTAATTGCATCTATAACACTATAACTAGAGTCCCACCCCTCTCATGAGGGGGAGCTTGAGTCTTAAGGGAGAACTTGAGGCTTTGAAAAGGAACTGAAATTCAGCATTGTTCCTACCATTGTCGATCACCGCCAGCAACTGTCATCGACCACCGCCAATCGCTGCCGACCATCGCCGACCATCATCGATCACCGCCGACCATCGCCAACACACATTGATCGCGTCAGTTACTGTCAACCGCCGACGACAACCACCAACCACCATTGATCACCATCAATTATCGTCAACCACCACCAACCAGATGTCGTTGGTCAACTTTGTAACTTGAAAAATCTAGTAACTATTTTCCTTCTGTGGGACAAGGGGTTTCTGAAATCATCAATCAATAGTGGATTCTTACAACTAGGTCAAACCTCATGGTTTTTTTCCTTTACTGGTTTGTCTACATAAAAACTTCTGGTGTCATTACTGGTTGTTTTCTTTCACGTGAATGTGTTGAATTCTCGTGACGCTAACACGATATTCCATTACTCTACCGCCGCAAATTTTCTAGCACACATCACAGCTATCTTCGTCATTATAAGGATGTTCAAATTGTTCAATATCTCTTGTTTACCTACATTTAGAATATTCTCACACGACACGATCCTAGTTTGAGAATAATGATCTTTCAAGTCCTTCAGATTTTAGTGGACTTATTTTGTTCAAAAAATTACACTATATCCATATATGTATTTTTTCAACTTCTGTGTCTAATTCAAATTTAATCTCATATTTTCAAGCAATATTTTTTTGTCTTCACAATCAACTTTCACCGTTCTAGCATACAAATAGCGTGTAGGACATAAAAAAAAAAATTATGAGTAATTAATCAACAATTCTTCAAATAAAATACTCCAATAAACAAATTTACAAAACAATCATTTATTGAGGCATGCAAATACAATCTGAATTTTTTTAAAGCCTAAAATGATGTCAAGGATAATCAAATTCAAGAGTTTCATAATAAAGATAAACCAATAAATTTTACTAAATATCAGAACTAATCAATGCAGCATCAAATTATATGCAATGCTTTGTTTAAAATTTAACAAAATTCTAAATTATGGTGATCTATGCATATAAATCATCCGGGCAAAAATAGACTTTATAAAGCAAGCTTTTTTTTAAAAAAAATCTAAATTAAATAACCTTCTATAAGAAAATATGAAATTGTTTGATTTAATTCAATACATAAAATGAATCAACATTATTACACATGATTATAAGATGCTCAAAAGTGAGTGACAAAATTTAAGGAAATTTATAATTTAAGATTAATACATTTAAAACTTTTAATTAATAAAAAATTTCAAATTAAATGAGTGAATGAAATTTACCTCAGTTCACTATTATCATTTACTCAAATTGGACTATGCAAATGAGTAAGGCTCGTTTGGGGTGGAGAAAGCAATAGCTCCTCTTAAAGAGTGGAAATATTTACATATGAAATACGCACATAGCTCTGCATGCGTACTCCATTAACCCCGCGATACCCTCATAATAACTTATGAATAACCTCGAAATAGAACATGTGAAGGCTATTGAAAGGTTATTGAGGTTATATTTTATTGAAATTAATATATCAATAACCTCCTAATAACCCCCTAATAACAGCAAAACGGAGGTTATTGAGGGGTTATTACGCACGCAGCTCTGCGTGTGTATTCCATATGAAAATATTTTCCCTTAAAGAGAGGGAGAATATAAGAGAAATTGACGGTGAGAGAGTGACCGGCAAGAGTTAAAGAAGAGATTGTGAAAGAGATCAGAAGATGAAAAGAGGGCAAGAGGGAAAAGAGTGGATGATGGATTGAAAGGCAAGATGGGTAAAACAGACGAGATTGAGAGATAATCAAGAGATGATGCGAGACCTGCCCTTTTATCTAACCTAGGTTTTGAATGAAGCATTAGCATTACATGTAAGAATTTACTATGGCAACCCGTAATTAAGATTTTGATTAAAAAAAAAAGGTAATTAAAATTTTGAAACCCACGCCTCAATGGATTTCGAAACCCTAAGGTTCAAAACTCAACACATCAATTAACTTACGCGTGAATTTTGGAAGATGGAGAAAAATTGTAGAATACTTTTACCAAAGCCTCAGACTAACAATTGTTCCGAGACACAGGTCTCAAAAGATTTTAAAACAAGGAAGATGGATAAAAAAAATTCATGCATCACTTCTAGGAGGAACACATGGAGGATCGCTTCTTGCTTGCTCCTCCTGTTGCAGCCGCCACCGCTATCACAACCACCTGGTTATCCACTACAACAGCCGATTGCTGCTCCCGCTGCCCCCGCTGCAGCTCCTGCACTCACCAGCATTTGTCACCTCCCAAAAGAGCCCTTATGGGTGGTGGGCAGCCCAGGACTTAAATACTGTTTTTCGGCCCTACACCTAGCCGATGTGGGACTATTTGTCCGTGACATTCTCCTCCACCCAATCACGTGACGCCCTCGTCACGGATCGGCTCCACCGAGGGTCCCACTGGACCGGCAGTAGTCTGCTCTGATACCACTTGTCACCTCCCAAAAGAGCCCTTATGGGTGGTGGGCAGCCCAGGACTTAAATACTGCTTTTCGGCCCTACACCTAGCCGATGTGGGACTATTTGTCCGTGACAATCTGCTCCTGCTACCACCAGCGCCACTGCTCATTTTGCTACAGCAGCCACTTTTTGCTTCTGCTGACTCTACATACCGCTCTTGTTGCTGCCACTGTTGCCTTCGGCGCCTATTACAGCTCCATTATCACCAGCTCAACTAGCTGCCGCCGGCATTGCCATAGCCACCTGTTATCACCATTCAACAAATAGTCTTATTCAAGTTGCATAAGAACTAAATATATTCTTCTACAACTCTAAACCTTAATATTTCATTTTTTTTAAAATTTATATGAGCTTTAATTCGTTTGAATTTTCAGATAAATATTTTATTACAAGGTTTTCAGGTTTTCTAAGAAATGATTAGAAGCAAGGAGAAATCAACATTGGATAATAAAAAATATCTGACATGAAGACATGGTGTGCAAGTCAAAATTGTCGGCAACGATATGACATGTTTATTTTAGATGCAACTATTATGAAAAAGGTACTTAAAAGAAGTATTACAAGAATAAAGAATATCATCTCCAGCTATGATAATAATGTTGCACCGCATGCTAAGTGCTAGATGCAGTAAAAGATGAGATCCAATCATAAATTAAAAATTCGACGATGTCTAAGCATCTTGCACAGCATAGTTTTATGATAGAGTTGTTGTCTGTTCTTACTTATAGGAGTAGGCGCAATGCCAAGAACTCCTCATCGTCTTTACAACCAAAGCCTACATGCATAACAGATCCCCGAGTTCAATATATGAGCAAGAGTAATAGAGAGGAACGCAAACATGCTGCATAGATATTGAAAGATTGTTGGAAGATGACAGGAGTTATAGAGAGAGCAGTTATAGCACAGAAGATATATCCAGAGCATGCTAGAGAGGAACACAAACATGTCTGCATAGATATTGAAAGAGTTTTTGTATGAGAATGCAATTTCATTTAATGTGATGACATCCCCTTCTTACTTTAATATAATATGTTTCATTACTGTTAATTCAAGGCATAAATCCTTATTTATATATGATTTGAAGGCATGAATATTGAATGAGAAGTCAAGTTATACACAGAAAATTATAGAAGAGATTAAGAAAATTTGGTGTCAGATTAGCATATAAAGAATAGAAGCTTGATTGACATTATAATAAATAATATAAATGACACAGCCTTTTTAAACTTTGTGGAAGTATCAAATCAGGTGAATGATATAGAATACATTTTTGGACGGCTTGATGAAGTGACAGAAGCAATTAAAGAGCATTTGCAGGTACAGATTGTGCCAGATAACTCCGGTCCTTACAGGGAAATTAAGAATAAGATGATAGAGAAGAGAGCGTTTATATTAGACAACTTGTGCTACACATTTTATATACTTGATATTAAAGAAAATTATGAATTACCCAACATTAAAAAGTAAAGTAGATTAATAAATTTATTTACAATCATTCTTGAGCATTAACTTTGATGAGAAAATTATTTTAAGAACTCTTACGCTCTATTACATGAAGATTTGTGCTTTTTTTACTCCATTAAATATTTTGAAAGTTAGGCAACCATTGAACGAAATATTCACTTCCAATAATTAACTTAGCAATGCATGGGCAAATAAATTAATAGGAAAGAATTCAAAAGAAATATTTTAAATAAAATATTTTTTTCTGGTGTAACATATGCAATAGCAACACTAGGCTAATAGTTCAATTTCTGAGGATGATGGATACAAAAAAAAACCAACTAGAAGTTTAATTTACAATTTAATTGATTGGACAAATGAATTAATAACCCATAACTTAAGAGGTGAAGAGGTCAATTATAGAAAGATTTAGGATATCATTGATAATAAATGAGAGCTTCAACTCCATCTCTATTTGCATGTTGTTGGAAATATCCTCAAACCTTAATTTCAATATGCTGAAAATAAGCCCCACAACACTGAGATTAAATTGAGGCTATATCATTTATATGAATAGATTGAGATTGTTGACTCAACAGAGAGGGCAGCTGCAGATATACAACTTGTTCCTCCTAGAATAACTAAAGTTTCATTGGCCTAACAAAAACAAAAGATAATGTTACAAAATATTATTTAGTTGTTTTTAATATTTAATATGTTTATTAAAAAAAGAATTAAGTAGCTAAATACTAAGTTTTAAATTTGTAATTATTATTTTTTTTTCAAACAAGTTGAATAGTGGATCCAGTTTGGTGATAGTACTCGAGAGCTACAATATTTTGCTATTAAAGTATTAAGACTTACATATTCGTTATCTGGGTTTGAGCACAATTAGAATATATAATCAATTTCATACAAAAAAATATCTAATAAACTTAATGATGATTTTTTTGCTATACATCATGTACAATAAGATATTAAAGGATATAAGTTTGAAGAGAAAGGTTTAAAGGATGACGAAGATCCTTTAATATGTGAAGATATGTCATCAGATTATGGGTGGTTTGTACATGATGACAATGGGATCACACTATATGAGTTACAACAAGAAAAACTGAACATTAAATTTATTTTTATTATGAGGATGAGAATAAGGCTACCACATCCAAAACTAAACAACAATAGAATAAAAGGAAATGTATTTATAAAAATTTAAGAGTTTGGTATTATCTTAAAAGTTAATTAAGAAAATATATTATGCATATCCTTTATTATTTGGAAGGAAAGAGGAAGATGACAGGGTTGAAGAAGAGAAAGTAATGGAAAAATTTAGCCTCAACTGAAGTAAAAACAATGGAGAAAACTATAAAATATGATGATGACTCCAATGAAAACCTGGTTAGTGATGAGAGAAAGGAGAATTTTTTATTATATATTATATTCATATTTAGATGTATAAATATTATGATGCTGGATAATAAAAGTAAAAAAAGTTTATTATGCTAAACTCATCTTATCTCTTACACTCTTAAGATAATATCTTATGTTACTTTTGTTTCATGTTTTATGTTAGTTTGATCGATTAATATTTACATTATTATTTGTGTAAGCTGTTACATAATATTTTATGGCTTACATATTTTTTTTATTTCATATAATTACAATCCGTGATATTTTATTATGTTAGGAAGTAAATATATCTTTCTTTATAATATCTATAAATTATTATGCTAAAATATTATTTTTACCCTACATCCGCCTTAAGGCTTACGCCTCGCCTCATAAATGAAAAATGCCTCAATACACAATTACGCAATTTAAAATCTTAATTTATATCTAGAACAATTTGAAGAAAGAAAGCACTTTAATAGCAAAACTTTGCAAACATTAAGTTCCTTGAACATCTGATAGCCACCATTTGATTAGCATTATAAAACTTTTACCATTATTTAATATAAAATTATTATTATACACAAATTAAAATTAATATTTTAAAATCATATTGCAAAGTATCCAAGTAATCCTTTGTCCCCTAAGTAAAGGAATCCAAAAAAATCATTCACATCATCTAATGCATGCATGTAAGCAAAATTAATATTATACACAAATTAAAATTAATATTTTAAAATCATATTACATAGTACCAAGTATCCTTTGTCCTCTGACTAAAGGAATCACAAAAATCCTTCACATCATCTTATGGATCCAGGTAAGCCATCAGCTACTTGTCATTTTTAATCTTGAGTTACTAAAAAATTGATCGAGATTTCAGAAATAGGAGGCTACATGCAAGAGTCGATAGAGCTACAATTCCCATCTTCTTTCAATGATTTTAAAATTTTGATCATGCTTTATGTTGTTGCTTCTTTGATCCAAACAACTGTCTCATTTTTTTTAACACAACAATGCTTTGCTTTATGTTGTCTGAGGGCCTTCCAGTGAAGGCCACCTACATTGACTGCATACATCATAGACTCTAAAAATATGTTTAAAAGATGGTTTGATCTTTCACAGCTTTTGTTTCCTATGAATAAGTCCAGCACAAAGTCTTCAAAAGTGAGCATTTTCTTCAATCTTATTTACTGTGGATAAAAAAGTGTTTCAAGTTCAAAAAGGTAGCGCAACCCTAGAATTAGCTAGTTTTATTAATGATTTAAATATTACCCCATCATATAATCAAATAATAATAGAAGTCAAGTGATAATAGCCTTTTATAAATAAATTGCTCTTTCCCCAGCCACTTCCTAGCCTCATACATTTATTTTTAAATTTTACTATTTTTTTCAACATAATGTTAAATACATTTGGAGTTTAAAATGTATCCAAGCATCATTTAACATTTTGGTTCTTTAAGCATAGAAGTAATTATTGAATTTGACTCAAAAGTATTTGATTTGACTTATGATGACTCCATAATTGTCCTAGGACTGAAATACCATCATCCATCATATCAAAATCACCTTCTTCATACATAACATCATGTAGCATTTCATTAATTTGCTCTTTCAACTTCATGTTCAAACTATTCTGATTTCACCTTGACATTTTAAGGGTAGCTAATCTGCATTTTAAAGCATTAAACCAAGTGTTATTTACGACAAGTAATTCCTCCCTTCATATCTTTTTCATATGAATTACATTTGACATAGTTGAGATCAATTTTGAATGCATGGCAACATAATTTCACGTAGTACTTTTCTATAAGTTTGATATAAATCCGACATTCTTCTTTTTCTGATAATTAATAAATAGAAATGTGGTACAATGTAGCTTAACAATATCCTCAAATAATAAGATCATAGTTTTGCACATTAATAAAATGTAACAAGATTGAACCAAATTAAATGAAAAATAAAGGGGAAAAAACAAAAAACTGATATAAATTAAGAGAAGGAAATCTTGCGATAAAATTATAGAAAGAAAAGAAAAAAGAGCAAAAAAATTATTACATAAAATGTTAGGCAAAGATAAAAGAAGATTGGGTCACGGATTCTATCGAAGAAGACGAAAGACATGTTTGAGAGGATTCTAATGACTCAGACAAGGATTATGTTTGACTCAATAACAAATCAAAAATGAATAGAAGCTCTTATCATCAGTTCAAGAGAGGATCATATTCAAAAGGGAAGAACTTTGTGTTATTTTTTAGAACAAATGCTTGTGTTCAATGAGAACATCAGAGTTCATTCTCTGAAGATGAAGATAACAATTTCCTTCTTGCGCATTTGAATTTCTTAGCAACTCCATCATAGTTCCATAGTCCATCGTTCCGTAGTTGCACTTACAATTCTCCTATTTATGCTCACCTGGTAGCTCGAGACTCGCTATAGTAGGAGAATCCTAAACTCACCCCCCTCACAATGAGTGTCTATAACGTGCATGAGAGATCATTTCAAAGTGATAAGATTACAAATGTGTGACACAAACTTAAACCCTAGTTAAAGGGAAAATAATAATAATACTATAAATTATTAAATATAACAGCTTTTTAAAAAAACTAAATTGGAGAAATTAAATAGCGTGTTATAACAGCAGTACATTATAAACCACCATGCATAAAAAACACGTATAGTGCACATTATTTTGACTACACATGCTTTAATACACTAATAGCGTCGGGTGTGCCCTATTACAGGATGGACTATAACACATGTTATTTGATGAAGCACGTGCTATTTTACATTATTAACATATATACGTCTGTTCTTCAATATTCCTCATCAATCATTGCCCTATGTCAACCAACTACTAATGTCTACCATCCATTAGCCATCGATATCCAACACCCATCTTTCAGATCATCTAATGTCCAACTAAGCATACCACTGACCATTGGCTTAGTGATAATTTGATACCTCATGAACCAATTATCATTGTGGGAGATACCTTTCACAATTCGTGTACAATATAATGTATAGTGCACATCATTTTGACTACACATGCCTTGATATACTAATAGCGTGGGGCGTGCCCTGTTACAGTATGGGTTAACACAAGTTATTTAACAAAACACGTGCTATTTTACATTATTAACATATATGCCCCTAAATTTCAATATTCCTCATCAATCAATGCCCTAAGTCAACTAACTACTAATGTCCAACATCCATTAGCCCTAGATGTTCAACACCCATCTTTTCGATCATCTAATTTCCAACTAAGCATACAACTGACCATTGCCTTAATGATAATTTGTTACCTCATGAAACCAACTACTACTGTGGGAGATATCTTTCACAATTCATGTACACTATAATGTATTAACACATTTTCAAATGTTCCATAAAAATATTTCATGTGGTGTAAGCCTCGTGATTTTTCCCATTCTCGAATTCTCCACAAAAACTTCTTGCCTAAAGTTATAATAAACTTACCTATATGTGGGCTAGAATTTTGTTCAATGTAGAGACCCCAAAATCTCTCTCTAACACTACAAATATTTCACAACACAATAAGTGGTATAAGCCATAGATCATTTACATTTCTGTATCCCATACAGATAAAATATTGGCATAACTTATAGATCTCGTTACTATCAATAAAAGCAAAAAAAATTGAGTCAGGATGCAACTCTACTAATGCATAATTCAGCCAAAATATCACAAATACTGTTGAACAAATTGATTTTGCATTATTGATGCAAACACAAATATTTATAGTTTATAAATATTGGAGTGCAAAATGATCATAAACAAACCTAGTTTGACCTTGTTATATCTCCTTAACAAGGCACTTAACATGCTGCAAAATCTCCAGATCCAAGTTATCATTCTTTTGATCACCAGCTGGGATTTGAAATCTACAAACTGATGATATGAAAGCTATTTGAAAAATCAAAAAGTAAATAGAGAACTGTTTCTATCAAATATGTTTGTGAAGATATACTCACATGTTAGTCACAAAATAATGTCATTCCATTGAAAACATCTGTTGCATTAACATTGTTACACTTTCTTGGGCATTCTCTATGCCATTTTTCTCAAACCCGATAATTAGAGCACAGTGTGTAGTATCATTAGGAAAAATACCACTAGCCCTCATCATGACTAGTATTTGGCAAGCTTTACTGATGTCACCAACACTACAAAATCCACGTACGAGGGTATTGTACAAGATTAAGTCAGGCACCAAACCAGCATCCAACATCTTCTGAAATAGAACATCAGCATCCTGCATACGATGCATTTTACAGAACCCATTCAACAAAGCACTGCAAGTGACAACATCAGGTGCCATCCCTCTTTTGCTCATACTACACCATATAAGATAAGCTTCTCCTAACCTTCCTTCTTTAGAATAGCCATGAATAATATTTGTACAAGTAAACTTATCTGATGAATACATCTTATCAGGAGAATACCCTCTTCTGATAAGTTCATTGAAGATTGTTTTAATAGCAAATCCTCTCTTTATAAGTCCATGCATAATCATATTGTATGTCACAGAATCTGGAAAAATCCCAGCCTTCCTCATCAAATCCACTAGTTCATATGCTTTGTGCATATGTCCCTTCTTGCTATACACATTGATCAAAGTATTATAAGTAGTTACATCAGCCTTAAACCCATCTCTTTCCAGTGCATTAAAGACATTCTCCGCCCCTTGAATATCATCATTCTTGCAATGACCGTCAACCAAAACTGCATAAGTAACAATAGTTGGTTCAATACCTCTTTTAATCATTTGTCCATAAGTTTTCATAGCATGATTTATCTGGCGTAGTCTACAATAGCCATTTATCACAGTAGTATAATTGATAGAATCAGGAGCTACATCTAAATCAATCATTGTGTTCAATAGTGCATGAGCATTTTCAACATCACCATTTTGACACCATGTGTAAATAAAACTATTATACACGAAAGAGTCAGGAAGACAAGCAGAAATATTTAACAGAAAAAATGCAGCTTCCAACCTACCAATCTTACAATAACCGTGAACAAGAGAAGCAACTAAAGTAGAATCTAATAATAAACCCATTTGAGCCATCTTAAACAGCAATGAAGTTGCCTCTTTCAAAAAGCCTCTTTTACAAAATGCATCTATCACAATTGTGTATGTAACACTATCAGCCATACCACCAAAAGTTGGAATGTCGTAGAGTAACTTGCAAGCAGACTCCAAGCAACCAGAAGCACAAAATTCCCGAATAAATAAGCTTAGAGTTAATCCAATCAATGGACCTCCTAAGCTTTGCATTTGCACAAATAAATCCCTAGCAGATTCAAATTTATCCGTAAACTGTGACTTTACCAAGAAACCAACAGCAATATAGACACCATTGCTTGGATAGAAACCAAACATCTCCATCCTTACTATTAATTTAAGAGCTATATCCAACATGCCCTGCTCTGCAAAACAAATAACAAGCATACTATATGCAGTTTCCAACTCGACTGCATTTTTCCTCGTCTGCCACAATGCAAGGAAGATAAAATTAAGGCCATCTTCAAATTTTTCAGTACTTCTAACAATACCGCGGAGAAGTTTCATGGCAACATGGTTCATATTACCTGAGACAGCTATGTGGACCATCAGGCAGTAGGTATGCAGCTTTTGCTTTAATTTGTAAACGGACCTATGCAAAATCCTGAACAAGTAATACACGAGGGCAGCATCCAAGCTCTCATCGTACAAATCATTTAGCATGCGGGTAAAATACCAAGAATCCAGGTCGATGACTAAGGAAGAATGGAAGTTTAGATCCCATCCTTGGTTTGAAAGAGCTGACGTAATTCTTTTCATGGAATTATCTTTGTGACCCCATTTTCTAAAGGAATGCTTCTTATCGAAGGGATTTCCAGTATTAATTTTAAGTGCTGGATAGCTAACACGGCTGATGATGGGAATGAAAGCGGTTTCGGAGGGAGATCCTGAGAAATTGTGATCAATCTCGGACTCTTCGGAGTTCCACAAGTCGGAATCCAAGAGAAAATGGCATGCAAACCCAAGATGACGATGTAGAAAACGTGGCGTGAGGGAAGGTAAAGGAATGAGCGAAGAAGACAGACAAAAGTGGAGAACGGGAGACAGATTAAAAGGGTAGTGGATGGGACTACACAGGGAGTTAACCATTTCCTTAGGGGGGAAACTAAGGCTAAATTCTAAAGCTTCGGAGTTAAGTTCCAAGGATACTGGGAAAATAGAGGCAAGGAATGGCGAGAAGAAAAAGGGAGGGCGAGGGAAAAATGGTGGAGCTTCACAAGTAGTTTCATCAAGATGCTGCTTGGAGACCCCTCTAACTGTAGAGTGAGGAGGAAAACAAAGGGAAAACTTAAAGTATGGGAGCAAAGGAGGAAGAAAGCTGCTACTTCATCGTCTACAGTTCTCCCAATCCAATTACCTCTCCTCCTTTTCCTCATCTCCAATGTTACTCTGCTTCAAGGAAGACGAACTATAGCAGGATGCCTCTGCAGTATGCTTACGGATAGCATCACAGATCAACAGCGAAGCAACTGGCCGACGGAGGACGGGTCGGCGGCTTAAAACACAGGCGAAGTGAGAATGTAGGGATGGATTCAGGGACCGTTTGGTTGGGCTTAAACCTAGCTCCACTCAGGTTTTTGAAGATAATAGCAGCGGTGCACCGGGCAACAAAGGACATGAGAAAATGATTTTAAACATTTTATATTTTTAATGAAAGACTTCATTGCAAATAAAACTAAAATATAAATTTTAATGAATTTTTTTTATAATTAATTTCTAAAAGTTTAATGATACAACTTAGACTGAAAATAGAAATTTAGTTGAATCAAAGCATATAAAACAACAAAGAACAACTGTGCAGACTCAACAAAGAGAATAAATAGCTAAAACAAATACTATGAAAAAATATCAAAACTGATAAACTAGAACTGAAAAACTTATTCTAGTTGAGACGGTTCTACTGGCGGCTAAATAGAACCTGTAATGTTAAAATATTAAGAATGAGTATGAAAAACTCAGTAAATAACAATTCTATATTAAAGCATAAACGAAAAATAAAATTGGGCATACAACATAAACAACAAGTAAGAAAAAAGCACTACATGCATATGTAACCCTGTAAAACCAATAAAAGGGTAGAAATCATTTATGCATTCTGTATGAAAACATGCAAACATTTTTTATTAAGTTTTTTATTAATATGTTTTCATTTATATTGATATAATTGGTTTTAACAGACACTCTGAAACTAGAAAGGTCAAATACTAACCAAAAGACCAAGAGATTTCATGTAGAGTCGCCACTTTGTGGGCCCGTTGACCCGGTTAGCCCAAAACCAAAAGGGTTCTACCGACTTACACGCCATCACACACAAGCACATCAAATTATTTCTATAGGTAAAATATGTTAAAGTTATAATATTTCATGTTGGCTTGTGATATGCAAAATCATACAGGTATAGAAAAAGAAAACATCAAACTGCATGATTAAATTAAATATTCAGCAATAAATTAAGGTGGTAGAAAATTTCATTATTAACAATAAAGTGGTCTATAATAAGTCATACATCATAATTGAAGTAGCAATGATTTGACTGACAAAACATAAACACTAGATGTGATATTCTACTACTAATAAAGAATAACTACTCTAACTAGGAATGGCACATTCATCCTCCAATAAACATAAGTTACTTATCTTGTGGCGATAACGTGACAATTCTATAAGTTTGACGGTTCGACTGGTATCCTACACCAATTAGAAAAAAAAACAAATAATTAATTTTACAATTAAATTTATTTTAGGTATAACATAATCAATGTGCATTATTACTACTATTATAGCTGTTAATTTATTATTGCTATTATATATTTTTAAAGGGAGAAATTGTGAGCCTATTTAATTTTAATAAAAAAAAAGTGCTTTAAACTCTACAATTTCAAATCCTGTTTCTCCTCTATTTTGCCTTAAATCTCGGGTTAATGATTGGGAGATGGATTCATGGGATTAGAGAAACTGCGGTGCGTGAGCAATTTAGAGGAAGGGAAGAAAGGTAAGGGTTACCTTCCTCAGTGGTTGTAGATAGGAGCGAACAGAAGGAGAAGGAACATGGGAGCTTCAGGTCCTTATATGTTGTAATTCTACTATTGCCTTCCTGTTTAGCTCCAAAGTGAATGTATTGCACAAATTCAATCAAAGGAGAAGGTTTTGAGCAAAATCGAGAGAGATAAAAGAGGGAGATTAGAAGAAGGAAGAGAGAGAGAGAGATAGAGAGAGAGGGGGGGATGAGATCAATTGGAGCCTTACCTCTGCTTTTATAGAGAGAGAGAGGGGGGGATGAGATCAATTGGAGCCTTACCTCTGCTTTTATAGAACACTGATGCTCATCAAAACGAGAATGCAACAAGAAGAAGGGGCAAAGAGAAAAGGAAAGTTACGACTCGGGAAATCCACAACCATAAAGGAATGATTGCAAGTAGAGGAAAAAGGCAAGGAATAAAAAATTTCAAAGAGGAAAAGAAAGGTAAGACAAAAATTTGGTTCTTACAATTCTGATATGGGTGGGAACAAGAACCGGATTTACAATAAACCAGCGTTGAACTGCTCAAAACTCCTGTCCAACTGGAAAACCATTCCCAATTTTAGGGAACCAGTAGGTTCCCATGTCACCGACATGATATTGTTCCGATTATTCACCGTGGGAGAAAGTTTTTTGTGCTGTCTCACGGAGAGGGGGAAAATAACAGTACATTCGAGAAGCCAATTGAATGAAAGCAATCCACACAAGGGCTCTGCATGAGTTTTTAATGTAGTTTTCTCATTTTCGTACGATACACATATATGTTAATTTAAGAATCTCAAGATTTCATAATTATATTATTATAAATATTGTTATTATCTAATTTAATAATAAGAAATCTATGTGTATAATTTTTAGATAATATCCTATGAATACACATTTAAGAAGTTTAGATTCTAATTTTCGTTTTTTACATTCTTGAATTAATGGACATTTTAGTTAAACAAACTTAAAACTGTAAAATACATTTAATTAAGTTTTCTATTTTTTAAAAATTCATAAGATGTTTTATTAGAATCCTTGTAAATTATTTGATTTGAGATAAAATAAGTTGTTAATAAAGCTTTTTGCCATAGTTTATTTGTTAAAATTAAGGATACTAACATTATATTTACCATATCAATTAGCATTCAATTTTTTCATTAAGCTATTCCATTAATTTGTGGTGAATGCAGAGGCATAATTTGATGTATAATACTATTTTCTTTAAAAAATTTATTAAAAAAAAGTGAGAATACTCTCAACTTTTATCTGATCTTAAAATATTAATTTTCTAATTTAATTTATTTTTTACTTCTAATTAATACTTTTAAACATATCAAAAACTTCATCTCTAGTTTTAATTAAATAAAAATAAAATTTCTTAAAATTCATCAATAAAATAATTAAATAACTTTAACATCAATGATATGTAATAAGAATTATTTATGTTATTTTTTCTTAAATAATATCTTGGTTTTGAAAACCTGACTGGACTGGCTAGTCGGACTAGTCTAACCTGGAATCCGACATGGTTATGATAGGGTGGGAGCAAGAACTGGATTTGCAACAAACCAGTGTTGAGCTGCCCCAACCCCGGTCCAACTGGAAGACTGTTCCAATTTTAGAGAACTGGCATGTTCCCATGTTGCTGACACGATATTGTTCTGGTTCTTCGCTGTGAGAGAAAGCTTTTCATGCTTTCTCACAGAGCGAAGAAAAATAAAGGTGCATTCGAGAAGTCAATTGGATGAAAGCAATCCGTATAAGGGCTCTACATGGAGATTTCTTATTAGCAACTACTTGTTGAGGAATGACATTAGAGATGGAAGTGTCACGTGGTAGATTCATGGGTGGAAGGAAGAGGAGCCAACATATCTTGGGATCTCATCGCAGCGTGGCAAATGTGTACATGAGATCAAAATTCAAAGAAAAAATCAATGAGATTTTTAAAATTAGACCACAACTTCATTCCTGTCTTGTAAAATTTTTCAAGCCTAAAATTAAAAATCAAACCTATACAAGCAACATATCGGATTTCTTCAAGTCATGGATTTGAAAAGCTATGGAGAAACCTTTTGTAGATTTAGTGGACATGATTAGATGCATGCTAATGCAGAAAAGAGCTAAAAGAAATCTTAAATCAAGCAAATGAATAACTGAATTAGTATTTGCAAATGATGAGTATATAAGAGGGTTAACTACAAGAAAGATAAGGTTTATCATTAGACCTTCAACAACATACAAGGCCAAAGTCGATGGACATTAAGAAATATAAAGGTGATATCTAATAGAAAAAGTGCAGTTGTGGATATTGACAAATGAGTGGACTCTCATATATTGCATATTTTATTGGCAACAAAGATGCAGTATCATGGCATACGTATGTGGATGAACATTTTCATATGATCAGATATTTCTCCTTTTTTTTTCAAACTCAAGTCATATGTCATATACTGGTTGATTATTGATATTATCAATATAAATTTAGATATAGGATGGCTTATGATAGTGTGATTTCCACTGCCCTGAGAAAGAGTGAATAAATTGCATCGATCGACGATTTTTATATGCATGTATCTAATATAACAAGATCTAAAAGAAAGGCAAAGGAAGTGGAAAAAAATGTTTTATGGAGAGTCCAAGCAAAAAGAGTATAATGACTAACAAACGTGGTCGTTGTAAATCTTTGGGGCATCACAAAACCACTTGCAAAAATCTAATTAGTTAATCAAGTCAGAACTTTACTAATGTTGATGCTACCTTATATGTCTCAGAATTTACATATGTTGATAGGGGCTTAAAGACAACGCTTCTAGTACACTGAGAGAAATTATACTGGTGAGGATTACGTGATGATGAGGAGCGTACATAAATTTTTATTTTAAAATTATTTTTTGAACACTTTACATAACACATCTGCATGGATCATTTCTTTTTTGTTTAAATTAGATGAAATGCATTATATGTAAAGGGATACACATATGAAATATGCATTTCAAATTTCAATATTGTTAAGTGAGATTTGCAATTTTTTTGAAAATGTAATTTTAGAGTCCTTTATAAGTAGTACATTTATATTTAAAGTGGAATAGGTGTGGTAGCAAAAGCAATGCTCATTCAGTTGTAATGTTGAGTTTGCCTCCGGTGTGAGTGGTTGTTTCTATTTACAAGCATTTCAATTTTAAAGCAATCGATTTGCTTGCTGCTCTTGTTATGGCTCTCTAAGTTTTCCTCTTCTTCTGCTTCGTGATGAAATTCCGGTTGGAGAATAGGAAGCAGTGATGATAATGGCTAATAATTAACCTTCTACCTGTTGGAATGGAAAAGCTTTTAGGAAATGACAAAGACTAAAAACACAACTTATGGAAGAAGCTTCACACAAATTTATCACCTTTACTTGGCTTGATACAAACTCAAAGACTTCACCCCTATTTATACTAGTGGCACCTCCTAAATTAATGGCTAAGATTGTGCCACCACAATTACAATCCAATGGTTACAAATAATTCCACACCTACCACACAATAATTCAACACCTACCACACCTACCACACCTACTACACAATAATTTCAT